TTCTTTTTGCTTATGTGGTGCTGAGGAATCGAACTCAGGGCCTCAGGCATGCAAGGCAAGCGCTCTACCACTGAGCCACCTTCCCAGCCCCTATATTTCAGTGTTTTTGAGACAGTGTCTCACTATACTACCTAGGCTAACTTTGAACTTTTGAACCCCCTAAATGCTGAGATTGCAGGTGTGTACCACTATGTCTGTCTCTTTTTTTTTTTTGGTTGGTTGTGGGGACTGACTCTGGGCCTGGGCCCTGTCCCTCAGCTCTTCAGCTCAAGGCTAGCACGCTACCACTTGAGCCATAGCCCCACTTCCAGCTTTTTCTGCTTATGTGGTGCTGAGGAGTCGAATCCAGGGCCTCATGCATGCAAGGCAAGCACTGTACCACTGAGCTACCTTCCCAGCCCCTATGTCTGTCTCTTTCTGAGTTTTTTGTTTGGTTTTTATTTCTTGACTCTTTTCTCCTTTTTTTTTTTTGTCTGTCATGGGGCTTGAACTCTGGACCTGGGCACTGTCTCTCAGCTCTTCAAATCAAGGCTAGAGCTCTACCACTTGAGCCACAGCACCATTTCTGGTTTTCTGATGATTTATTGGAGATAAGAGTCTTATGGACGTTCTTGCCCTCGCTGGCTTTGAACCATGATCCTCAAATCTCAGCCTCCTGAGTAGCTAGGAGCCACCAGTGCCCAGGGCTCCTTATTTTTTCACACAGTTACTAATTACCTAACATATGCCTGGCACTATAAAAAAAAAAAAAGCATCAAGATAAGAAGGCCAGAGAATCTCTGATCAGAGGACAGACTTGTGAGCTCATAAAAGTGTAATAATGGTTGACTTACAAGCATGGATGAAGTCCTATGAGAGCCAAGAGGATGGATGAATGATCTCTGTCCAGAGAAGTTTCTGTTAGGAAAAGCACCATCAAGTGGGTAGAGTTTGAAAGAATGCCTAGAAACCCATCTGTGTTTATCCAGCAAGAAGAAGGCTCCAAGGTCAAGTTCTGTATCGGTAGAGGAACACACACACACACACACCAGTTAGAGAAGGAAAAGTACATTCTATCTCGTGGACTTTTTTTTTTTTTTGTCAGTTGCGGGGCTTGAACTCGGCCTGGGCACTGTCCTTCAGCTCTTCAGCTCAAGGCGAGCGCTCTACCACTTGAGCTACAGCGCCACTTCCGGAAAAGTACATTCTAGACAGAAAAAAAAGGCTATGCTTTGCCTTGTTTCTCCACAGCAAAGTAGGTATTCCAGAGATTCTAAAGACAATTCTGTTGCCAGCCTTATCCCTTCAAAAGACAGTGGTTCTCCCATAATTTTATGTTTCCTGGCTCCACAGCTCCCTTACATCTTTCCCCTCTGTCTTTCCATTTATGCCCCCTAGGAAGTTGTTGGGATATAAGAGTGTTTGTTATTACTATTATTTGTTAAGGTTTTCCTGTTCCTAGGGGTAGTTACAGAGCCTTTCTTGCACCTTTCTTTATTCTGACCTCAGAAGTACTTGCCAAGACTGGCTGACTTACACTTGTAAGCCTAGCTACTTAGTAACTAAGATCTGAAGGACTGGCTTGAAGTTAACTCCAGGAAGAAAAGATCAATAGATACCATCTCAAAATTACCATAGAAGACAAGGGCAAGAGTTATGATTCATTGGTGGGTACTAGATTTCTAAGTGATCTCAAACCCCTGTAATGCCAAAAAAAAAAAGAAAAAAAAGAAAGAAAGAAAAAAGAAATACTTAACAAGTATTTGTTAATTTATTTTTAAAATATCATTACTTTGTTAAGGTTTTTCATATATCTCTGTTTATTATAGACAAAGAATATAGTTGAAAATGAGTAAGGATAAGTAGGATGTATAAAAGAAAAAAATTGTATAAGAGAGGTAAGAGGAAAATTGGAAGAGTTGAACTTTTCTGTCTTTGCTTTATGAGTTGTATCTATAGATTGAGTTATATAAATGCATCAGTTAATAAATTCTGTGTCCTAGTTTCTCTACTATAAGAAACTTAAAATAAAATGCTGGCTGTGGTTCACACCTATAATCCTAGCTGCCTAGAAGGCTGAGGTCTGAAGAATGTGGTTCAAAGCTAGCCCAAGTAAACAAATCCCTGAGACTCTTATTTCTAATTAGCCAGCAAAAAGCCAGGATTGGAAGTGTGGTTCAAATATAGTAGAGTGCCAGATTAGAGCAGAAAATGCTAAGGGACAGAACCCAGGCTCTGAGTTCAAACTGCAGTACCAGCACAAAAATGAGCAAACAAATTAATTTGGCTTCAGTCTCCTCTATTATTACTAAAGCCATCTTCCCTCCATTGTTGCTATGACCTGCTTCTCATGAACTATAACCATCTATGGAAATCCTCATTTTCCTCTCTTATCTTGAACAAATAGCTTAAGAGCCAGCTCTTACACTAAAGATGTCCCCTGGCTCTAGAGGTGGCACCTTCCTCAAAGTGGGCCTTTTCTGTGTAAGGTTTGCCAAGACTGCCGTGTGGTTCGGGCAGAAAAGTTTATTGGTGGGGGAGAGCAACCTGCTGGCCCACACTAGATAGAGGAGAGAGATAAAAGTAAAAGGGGGGAAAAAGAGGAAGAGAGAGAATTTGTGGTTGAGAGGGATTATATAGGGAAAGGCGAGGAGGAGGTTGATCACAGGAGATGCGGAAATGATCTCAGAGCCCCAGAGCCTGGGGAACCTCTCACTATCTGAAGGAGATGTGATGGTGTGGTTCAGAAAGTGACCTCAGTGGGCTGGGAAGGTTGCTCAGTGGTATAGTGCTTGCCTTACATGCCTTAGCCCTGGGTTGCATTCCTCAGCACCACATAAGCAGAAAAAGCCAGAAGTGGCGCAATGGCTCAAGTGGTAGAGTACTAGCCTTGAGCTAAAGAGCTGAGGGACAGCGCCCAGGCCTAGAGTTCAGGCCCCACAACCAAGGTTGGGGGGGAATTACCTCAGCCGATGAGAAAATGATCTGAGTCTGGGATGACTCACAGTCAGGTGATTATTGGTTTCAGGCAGGTGATGTCTTTTTTTTTTTTTTTGATCGGTTGTAGGGCTTGAACTCTGGGCTTGGGCGGTGTCCCTGTGCTCTTCTGATCCAGGCTAGCAGTCTACTGCTTGAGCAGTTTTCTAGTGGTTTATTGGAGATAAGAGTCTCACAGACTTTCCTGCCTGGGCTGGCTTTGAACCTCAATCCTCAGATCTCAATCTCCTGAGTAGCTAGGATTACAGGCGTGAGCCATGGCGCCTGGCTTAGGTGGGGCTTAAATTCAAGGCCTGGTTGCTGTCCCTGAGCTGCTTTTCCTCAAGGCTAGCATTCTACCACTTGAGCCACAGCACCATTTCTGGCTTTTTCTGTTTATGTGGCACCGATGAATCAACTTAGGACTTCATGCATGCCAGGCAAGCACTCTACCACAAAGCCACATTCCCAGCCCTCCATGCTTTATTCTTTTTTTTTTTTTTAATTGGTCATGGGGCTTGAACTCTGGACCTGGGTGCTATCTGTGAGCTCCTCAGCTCAAGGTTAATGCTTTACCACTTGAGTCACAGCACCACTTCTAATTTTCTGGTGGTTAATTGGAGATAAGAGTGTCACAGACTTTCCTGCCCAGGCTGGCTTTAAACTGCAATACTCAGATCTCTGCCTCCTGAGTAGCTAGGATTACAGGCATGAGCCACTGGCGCCTGGCTCCATGCTTCATTCTTAAGACTAGACACCATTCTCAGGTAAGATGATAATATCTGGGAAAAAAAAAGACTGCTTCCTGAGACATAATTACTGATCTCTTTTCCCCCAGAGACCATAAAGTGGACTTGAAGACTTTATTGAGATTATATGTGAACTTAATTTTACAGTACATAAAAGTGAATGTTTCTTTTTTTAAATTTTCTTTCTTTCTTTCCTTCTTTCTTTCTTTCTTTCTTTCTTTCTTTCTTTCTTTCTTTCTTTCTTTCTTTCTTTCTTTCTGTCAGTCGTGGGGCCTGAGCTCTAGGCCTGGGTGCTGTCCCTCAGCTCTTCAGCTCAAGGCTAGCACTCTACCACTTGAGCCATAGCCCCACTTCCAGCTTTTTCTGCTTATGTGGTCCTGAGGAATCGAAGCCAGGGCCTCATGCATACAAGGCAAGCACTCTGCCACTGAGCTACCTTCCCAGCCCCATGAATGTTTCTTAATGTGTTAACAAAAAATTTTAAATGAAGTTGGCCATACTTATACAGAAACATTCACTGTAAATCTAAAAGTAGTTATTCAAGTAACTACATTAAATTTAAAAAAAAACAACAGGTAAAATCAAGAAGGCTTTTCTGTCCCCCAAAATCTCACTTCCTTAGCTTCTTATCAAAGGTTTGTCCTTCCCAGTACAAAGTCTATCTGTTCCTGAGAATTGCTGGGGATCCCTCCCTCACTTCACATAGTTTATACTTTGTTACTTAGTCTGATAGAGCATTTCTTATCTGCCTTGTAATTTTGTGACTTCTTGTGTCCTCTGTGATACTGTAAATACTTGAGAAGGAGGCATTGAAATAACCTCAGAGTTGAGAAGTCCGTGGAGGCATGGTTAAAGATGACAAAGGAGTTTGTTGGCTGGTCAGGAACTGTCCTATTCAGGACTTCAGGGTCTCAAAACAAAGAGCAGCCCTAACCCTAGTAGGGCAGGGTTTATAAAGGCAAAAGCCACATACAGGTGGTGAGGCAGTTTCACAAGCAAGCAAGCTGATTCACAGAAGCTAAATTTGCTTAAGCAATTTTTGTAAATAATTTCATGAGGTCACATCCTGGAGCCATTTGTTGGGAGGGCATTTCTGAAGCTGTCACTGGAGAGTCAACAGTTGTGATCGGGACTCTAGGGACAGCATTCTGCTGATTCAACTGGAGGCTACAGATATGTGAAGTTTTGGGTGGGTGGTTAGAACTAGTCTGATCACTTGATTTGAGGGACAGGGCTGAGGGCCTAGGATGGAGGTTGCTGGGCCAGAATGGCTTTCCTTTAAGCTAAATCTAAAACTGGGTTCTTATAGTATGTTTTATTCATTTTACACAAATATTCATCTCTTGCATTTGATAGTTCACTAGCATATGCTTATTGAATCAAAGTAAAAGACAATGGGTCTATAAGAAAACAGGCCAGAAGTGAGCCATCTTATTTATATTTAGTTATTTACTTATTTATTTAATGTGTATGTCAGTGTTGGGACTTGAATTTAGAGTCTCATGCTCATCTTAGTTTTTTTCTCTCAAGGCTGGCTCTCTACCACTTGAGCCACACCTCCACATCCAGATTTTTGGTGGTTAATGGCAGATAAAAATCTAATGGTAAGCCAGGAATGTGGCTTAGTGATACAGTGTTTTCTTAGTATGCAGGAGGCACTGAGTTCGAGTCCCCAGTACCACATAATAAAATTTAAAAAAAACACAAAAAAGCAGGGGCTGGAAGGTGGCTCAGTGGTAGAGTGCTTGCCTTGCATGCATGAGGCCCTGGGTTCGATTCCTCAGCACCACATAAGCAGAAAAAGCCAGAAGTGGTGCTATGGCTCAAGTAGTAGAGCGCTAGCCTTGAGCTGAAGAGCTGAGGGACAGCAATCAGGCCCAGAGTTCAGGCCCCACAACCTACAAAAAACAAAAAAACCAAACAACAACAACAACAAAAACCAGTAAGAATCTAATGGACTTTCTTGCCCAGACTGGCTTCAAACCCTGATCCTCAGATTTGAGAGTCCTGAGTAGCTAGGATTACAGGCATGAATCACCAGGACCAGCTAAAGTGAGCAATTTTAATATGGCTCTTCCCAAAAGGACTTCAAATGAGTGAGGAGATGCCACTTCTTGGTCTCAGACCTAGGTCAGCTTAGATACTATTTAATGAGTACTCAATGTGTATTGTGGCTCCCAATAATCAGGGGTGCAGGCTATATATGAAGAAAAGTGAGTAGTCCTCTGAGAACTTGTAAATAAGGAAAACAAGATATGCTATGAGAATTCAGTGAATTTAGCACAGTCAGAAATGACTGCTGGAATAGTTACTTGTTTGGGAAAAGTCCCGATTGAATTAACAATTATAATCTGAAGAAAGGTTACTTCAACTATAGGGACTGGCAATGTTGGCAATATGCATTTAGCTCTGCCCAAAGGGGGTTAAAGCTGATTTGGCTCATTTGTGACCTCTGTAAGATTTGCCCAGGGTTGTTCAAGCCCTGACCTTCCCACCTCTTTCATTAGTCTCCACCCAGTACCTGTGTCACCTAGGTAACTGGCACACCTGGAGGCAGTCACCTTCCCCTCCTCAGAGATCACATCCTGGCTGACCCGGGGTGACCTCCAGGGTCCCAGGCCCCTGAGGTTACATCCACATCCAATGGTGCCACACTGTACTGTCCACATCTTCTCCCCCCATCTTTTCCCTAGTGAAGGCCCAGCAAGACAGCCGTCTGGCCCTTTCAGCCTGTACACCTCTACCATGCATGGTAGGAAAGCAGTTTTGTAATAAAACTTCCCTTCCTGCCTGAATACTGAGTGGTGTTCTCTTCATTGACTACCTAATTAAACCTACTTATTTAATTTACCTTCTTACCAGCTATTCTAAGAAAAATAGTTAATCTGGACCCTTCAAAATCCAGCTTAGATATTTTGTAGAGTTCATCCTGGGACTGTGTGAGTCAGAATCTAGACATTGGGTCAAATTTAATATATATCTATTTCCAGGGTAGCAGGTGCATTTCTTCCTAAACTTGTCAATTAAAAATGACAGGCGCCAGTGGCTCACGCCTGTAATCATCCTAGCTACTTAGGAGGGTGAGATCTGAGGATCACGGCTCAAAGCCAGCCTATGCAGGAAAGTCCGTGAGACTCTTATCTCAGGGACCACCACAAAACTGGAAGTGACACTGTGGTTCAAGTGGTAGAGAGCTTGCCTTGAGCTGAAGAGCGCAGGGACAGCGCCCAGGCCGAGTTCAAGCCCCATGACCGACATAAAAGAAAGAAAGAAACAATAAAGATAGGTAGCAAACATGACTTTTTTCAAGAAATTGAATTCAGAGATATAAAAGGAGAAACGTAGTCTTTACCTGATATATGTAACTATAACCCCTGGGTACGTCACCTCTAAAATCACAATAAAAATTAAAAAGTTTTTTTTAAAGGAGGATGAGTGAAAACTAGCTGAGGAGGGGAGTTGGGTGGAATGAAAACCTTGAGGGACAGGAGAAAAAGACGAGCAGGGAAGGAAAAGGATACGCGTAGAAAAACTAACCGAACCCAGTAACTAGGGCCTAAACAGAGCTGCGAACGTCCTCTAGGCGCTCCTTCGAGGCCCCGGCCCGGCCCGGCTCCGCCCCGCCTCGCCCAGGCCCGGCTCCGCCCCGGCCCTTCGGTGCTGGGGAAGTCGGGTGCGGGAGTAGGGCTTCCATTTGGTGACTCGTCCTGTACCTGCCGCTGATTTTCCGCGGGCCCCAGGCGCTGCGGGAGGTCGGAGCAGGTGAAACGAGTGAGCCGGCAGGTCTGGGCGCTGCCCTCGGGAGCTGGGAACTGGTGGGGAGGACTAGGAGCAGCCAGCGAGCGACTAGGGGACCCGGGGCCCGCGGGGTGGGGCGCATCCGCGGATTTCTCCCGCTGCTCTGGTCACTCAGGGCCGGTGGTGTGTGAATGGGAAAGAGAAAGGAAGTCCAGTTACTTCCCTGACTGGGGCCTCCTGGGGAGGAGAGGAGCTGTCGCAGACAGCTGCTGTGTGGGCCTTCCTACGCGGAGACTCAGGGTGTTTAACTGGCCTGCAGGTTCTTAGGTAGGAGACAAGGTGCCTAAGATACCCCAGGTCCAGAATACTGCCTGAAGGGTGGTCAGAAGAAAAAGAGGGGTGTGAGCAGAGCATTTACATACACTCCTGGGGAAGTGTGGGACACTAATCCGCGGGGGAAGGCCCTGAACACGAGGGAGGGCTTTCACCTTTCAGTTCCAAGAGAGCTGACTCTCTCTACACAAACTCCAGGGCGGAAAAAGTTTACATGACTTTATTTTTCTATTACTCTTTGATTTGAAACCCCTGTCTTTTCCCCTCTTCCGTCTTTTCTCTTCCCTCTCTGCTTGTATAGGGCTTGAAGTCAGGCTTCACACTCATTTGGCTTTTTTGTTTGTTTTTGCCAGCCGGGCCTTGAACTCAGGGCCTGGAGCACTGTTCTTGAGCTTCTTTTGCTTAAGGATAATACTCTACCACTTGAGCCACAGCCTCACTTCCGGCTTTTTCAGTTTATGTGGTACTGAGGAATTGAATCCAGGGCTTCATGCATGCCAGGCAAGCTCTCTACCACAAAGCCACATTCCCAGCCTTCATTTGGCTTTTTTTTTTTCTTTAAGTTTTTATCACTTTCTAGTTAATGAAGATAAGTTGTGTGATTCTTTTTCTTGTGAATTATGAAAGTTTTGTTTTTGTGACCTAATTAAACAGTTTTTTGTTTTTGTTTTCTTAGTGCCATTGTATAAAGTGTTCCTAGGGCTTGAACTCAGGTCCTCGACACAGTTGCTGAAGTTTTTGCTCAAGGCTATGTACTGATCTACCAGTTGAACCACATCTCCAGCTTTTTGCTGGTGAATTGGAGATAAGAATGGTACAGACTTTCCTGTCCCAGCCTGCTTCAAACCTGTAATCCTCAGATCTCAGCCTCCTGAATAGAATTACAGGCATGAGCCACTAGTGCCTGGCAAAAAGTTAATTTTAAAATTTAAGTTTTATTATTTTTAAGTAGTTATACAAGGGGTCACTATTCAACATGTCTGTTTATGAGTACAATACATTTGATCAATATCACTCCTTAGTCATTTTTTCCCATCCCTCCCAAATGCACCTATCACCTCAATTTTCCTAATTTCATGTGATATGCTTTAAATATAATGTCACTCCCCATCCTCACACACTTGGCCTTTTTGATAAAGGCTGACATTCTACCACTTGAGCCACAGTTCATATTGTGCTTTTTGCTGGTTAATTGGAAATAGTCGCTAGAATCTGTCCTGGTTATCTTCAAATGAGATCTTCAAGTTTAACCTTCTGAGTAGCTAGGATTATGTGAGCTACAAGCCTCTGGCACCTTCTCTTTCTTTAGGGAAAAAAATTGATATTCCTTTTTTGGTGGGAGTGGGTGGGGGTGGGGGTAATAAGGGGGTGGTTTCTGGCCCTGGAGTTTGAACTCAGGGCCTGATCACTGTCCCTTAACTTTTCTCAAGGTTAAGGTTAGCAGTCTACTACTTCAGACACAGCTCTACTTCTGGCCTTTTTTTTTTTGTCCGTCATGGGGCTTGAACTCTGGGCCTGGGTGCTATCTCTCAGCTCTTCAGCTCAAGGCTAGCACTCTACCACCTGAGCCACAGCACTACTTCCAGATTTCTGGTGGTTTATTGGAGATAAGAGTTTCATGCCCAGGCTGATTTTGAACTGTCATCCTCAGATCTCAGCCTTCTGAGTAGCTAAGATTACAGGCATGAGCCACTGGCACCTGGCCTTTTTTATTTTTTAATAGTTAATTAGAGATAAGAATCTCATGCACTTTCCTTTACCACTGGCTTCAAACTTCAATCCTCAGATCTAAGTATTCTGAGTAGCTAGGATTATAGTTGTGAGCCACTGGCACCCAGCTCTTGCTTCTTGTAGCTTTTTCTCCACAGATTGGCACTGTACCATTTGCGACACATCTCTTGTTCCAGCATTCTGCTAGTTAGTTGGAGATAAGAGTCGCATAGATTTTCTTGTCCAGGCTAGCTTTGAACTGGAATCCTCAGATCTCAGCCTCCTGAGTAGCTAGGATTACTGGTGCCTGGCTAGCAAACATTATTATTATTATTATTTTGGTCGGTCATGGGGCTTGAACTCTGGGCTGGGGCAATGTCCCTGCGCTCTTCAGCCCAAGGCGAGTGCTCTACCACTTGAGCCACAGCACCACTTCTGGTTTTCTAGTGGTTTATTGGAGATAAGAGTCTCACAGACTTTCCTGCCCAGGCTGGCTTTGAATCACGATCCTCAGATCTCAGCCTCCTGAGTAACTAGGATTACAGGCATGAGCCACGGTGCCCAGCTACAAACTTATTTTTTATTTTGATAAACAGTGATATGAAAGGTGGCTGGGGTAGATATCAGGGCAGCTCCTTAGTCAGATCTGAATACAGTGTCAATAATCACAAGTAGATTATAAGGTTTCAACAAAAGTGGCAGGAGGAATGGCAGTAGATCTGAGAGGCAGGGAGGGAGTAGTAGCCATGTAAGGTGTGTACACTTCTAACCCCATCTCTGGGTATGCAGGCAGAAGAATCATGAAGTCCTGGGCTCTAGAGGGTATCTTGTTGCCCAAACAAAACAAAAAGATTTGGTAGTTTACTGGATAATAACAGAATGCCTTCCCTTTCTGGACCCCTTATTATATTTAAGTGTCAGGCACTGGTTCCAAGTGTACATATTTTTCCCCTAATTCCTATAGGTCTTTTTGTAAGGTTGGTAGATAAGAAAGCAGAGCCACAGAGTTAAAATAAGTTGTCCGAGGTCTCATGGTAGAGAAACCAGAATTCAAAGTCAAGTTTGTCATAGTCTGTTTTTACATTTGTTTTGTTTTACTTTGTTTTAGTGCCAGTAATAGGACTTGAACTCAGGGTCTGAATACTATCCCTAGACTAGTACTGTACCACTGAATCTGAAGGTCCACTTCTGGCTTTTGGTGTTTAATTGGAGATAGAGTTTTATGTTCTTTCTTGCCCAGGCTGGCATTGAAGTACCATCCTCAGATCTCAGTCACCTGAGTTGCTAGGATTATAGGTATGAGCCATGGGCTCCCAGCTTAAATAAATAAACTTCTTTAGATGGCAAGTTCTCATCTATTTCTCTTTCTTTCTAGGTGTATACTAGTTGGGCTTCAGCCATGGAGAAATTCTATGGGCATACATCTGCCCGCTCACATATTCTCTCCTTGGAGAATCGTTGCCTGGCCATGCTTCCTGATTTACAGCCCCTGAAGAAACCACATATGTCTGCCCACTCAGACATCCTCTCCTTGGAGAACCGGTGCATGGTTCAAATTCCTGACCTGAAGACCATGAAACAATCTAACAGGCATTTGTCTGTCCACTCAGATATCCTCTCCTTGGAGAATCAGTGCCTGGTTACCCTCCCCACTGTAAAGAGCATCTTGTCTGCCAGCCCCTTGCTCCAGTGCCTTCAGACATCTCAAACGTTGCAAGCTAATTTATACAGTTTGAATACCCACAACTACCTGTTCTCTGAGCCACCAAGCAGGACAGTTCAGTATCTCTCCGAGGGACTAGACCTTCCTACTTGTCCCAAGACTCTGAAATCCATCTCTACTACAAAAAGATTTCAGGAAACAACTTTGGTAATGGTTCCATACACTCATCTGGACTCCAGCCTTGTCTGTTATATACTCTTGTCACTAGCTTAATGCCTCTACTTCTCTCTGTAGTATTCTGTATTTGGTACTGTTTCTCCTCAGTTTTTTCTGAGGTGCTTTCCCTATCCCCCATTGCTGATTTCATTAGCATCCCTGTTTCAAAGATTCTGGACCAAGCTGGGCACTGGTGGCTCACACCTGTAATTCTAGCTTTACCACTTGAGCCACAGACCCATTTCTGTCTTTTTTTGTTAATTGGAGATAAGAACATCACAGAGTTTCCTGACCAGGCTGGCTTTAAACTGTAATCCTCAGATCTCAGCCTTTTAATTTTTTTTGGGGGGGGGGTCCGGTCGTGGGGCCTGAACTCTGGGCCTAGGCACTGTCCCTCAGCTCTTCAGCTCAAGGCTCGCGCTCTACCACTTGAGCCATAGCGCCACTTCCGGCTTTTTTCTTATGTGGTGCTGAGCAATCGAACCCAGGGCCTCAAGCATGCAAGGCAAGTGCTCTACCACTGAGCCACCTTCCCAGCCCCAGATCTCAGCCTTTTGAGTAGCTAGGATTGCAGGCATGAGCCATCAGTGCTTGGCTCTAAAAATATCTTTAAATCATTAAGGAGGAGCATGAGGGATCTCAGGCTCCCAGGCTGTGAGAGCAGTAAGGAAATGGAAGAGGAAGGAAGATCATGAAGCATCTAGTTAAAGGCACAGTAGAAGGTTTGTATAGGGTAGAAGAAAAAGGAGGAGGAGGTGGAGG